TTACTGTCTTTCTGGTAACTTTTTAAAAAATAATTCTATTCCAGTTCTTTCTCTGAGTCACTTTTATAGTACCCATAATATTTTTTTCTAGTCTTTTCTGTTTGTCATTCAGGCTTCCTTTCCTTTCTCCTGTTAGGTAAAGTTAGCCAAAGTCTTGTCATGAAAACACGCACGCACACACACACACACACACACACACACCTTTTCTAAACAGAAGTCTTATTAAGCAAATGTAGCTTGATAGTACAGAGTGGAGCTCAGCTTTAGCCGTAAACACATCAAAGTTTGCAGTAAACTGCCCTTCTGGATCAAGGAAAGGTGATTCAGAAACAATTCCAGGTCCCAGAGTGTGTCTGTCCTCAATAGAGTTGTGCTCAGCTGCTTGGAGATCAGGCTGTTGAGAGACAGGTGCTATCTTCATTTTGACTTCTAAAACTGGAGTTCTGTTTCACACTGACAGGTTCAGCAGTCTGCAGCAATTTTCTTTCTTTTTCTTATGTGACACAGCAGCCCCTCACTGGGGGCAAATAAAAGAAATCTGGGGAGATTTTCCATACAGATTATAATGTCAAGCGAGACCAAACATTGTATTTCTTCCTTCCCCATATGTGTACCTTTTATTTTATTTTATTGTTCTACTGCATTAGATAGGACTTCCAGTATGATGTTGAATAGAATTGATAAGAGGGGACATCTGTGCCCTGTTCCTGATCTTAGTAGGAGAGAATCTAGTTTCTCACCCCTGTGATGTTAGCTGTAGGAATTTTTTAAATAGATTTTTAAAGTTAAGCTTTAAAAGTTACCTCTGTCTTAGTCAATTCAGGCTGTTGTTACAAAATACTGTATATTGGGTAACTTAAATAACATATTCGCTTATCACAGCTCTAAAAGCTGGAAAGTCTAAAGATCAAGGTGCTAACAAATTTGGTTCCTGGTGAGGTACTGCTTTATGGTGTGTATACAAGCCCCTTCTCATACAGCCTTTATGTGTGTGTGTGTGTGTGTGTGTGTGTGTGTGTGTGTGTGTGTGTGAGAGAGAGAGAGAGAGAGAGAGAGACACGGGGGGGGGGG